AAATAAAATAAGTTAAAATGTCAATAAGACAAAATGTCACATCTAATCTATAATTATTTTATTTTTTTCTTACAAAAGTCAAAAAATTCAAAAAATCTATTCCAAATAAAACTTTATAATCCAAATTAAAATAGTTAAAAAGCTAAAAAAATCAACTCACTTTTCAAACAAAAACTAAGATCTCACAGTCAAACAAAATAAGTTTGACTTTGTGAAATTGTGAATACAAGCCACTTTGCAACCAATTTCTTTTTGATAGTTATGTTGGGGATTTTAAATAATTTATCAATTTTTTTTTATCAAATCTCTCATACGGGCGTGAGACTCACATACATATGAATTCGTGTGAAATCTACACATATGTAAAAGATTTGGTAAAATATTTAGAGAAATGCATGGTAGTTCGAAAATTGAGCGGCTCGAGTGCCCCGAGTGTCAAAATGACGTCGTTTTGACACTCTTTTTTTTTTTGTCTTTTTCCTTCTTCCTTCTTCCTTGAACTGGTGTGAGAGAAAGAGAGGTGAGAGAGAAACAAAGAAGGAGGAAGAGAGAGGTGAGGAAAAGAGAGGAGGAAGAGAGACCCAACCTATCGCAATGGACGAAGAGGCCGAAGCTTGATCTTCGGCTGTGGATCTTTGGCTCAACTGTTTTGATTTTGATTTTGATATTTTCTCCTATTGTTGTTTTGATTTGGTTTGATTTTTTTTTTTTTGTGATTTTTTGGGTTATTTTGCAAACTATGCTAATTTTGATTTTTTTGATTTTGATTTTGCAAACTGTGCTGATTTTGGCTGTGGATCTTCAGCTGAACCATTATTTTTTTAATCTCTTCTTCTTCTTCCTTAGGTTTGAGGAGAGAGAGAGAGAAAGAAAGAGTTATGTGACTTTTTCAACAAACCCAAACACTAGATTTCAAAGAACTGAAGAAGGAAGGAGAAGGAAAAAGAGAGGGAAGGAAGAAGAGAAAGAAGGAAAGAGAGAGAGAGAGACGACTATGTGGCTTCAACAAACCCAAACACTAGATTTCAAAGAACTGAAAAAGGAAGAAGGAAAAAGAGAAGGAAGCAAGAAAGGAGCAGGAAAAAGAATAAAAAAAAAATTCCGGGCCATTCGAGCTTTGTGTTTTCAAGCTATGTAACGGGGTCGAAATATTTAATAATTTTTTTGAAATTCATAACATTTTCTTTCATCTAACGACGAGTTTACCCAATGTATTAGTGCCAGTCATCACTTCAAATATGGGATTGGAAGGGTGCTCGATTAGTGTACATAATGAGGTGTCAATAGGTAAATTGTTGGTGTTATATGCACCAATTATCGGTGGTGCTACATATACTAGTGTATCAATTAGTGTTATGATACTATTATTAACCACATTTATTATACAAGTTATAAATATTTAAAACTATACAAATGATGACACATCATCTATTAGTACACTAGTGTGTACATTAATTGATATATATAGCATTATTCTAGATCGGTGGTGCTATATGCACCAATTAGTGTACATACTAGTGTACCAATTAGTGTTATGATATTATTATTAATCACATTTATTATACAAGTTACAAATACCCAAAACCATAAAATGATGCCACATCATCTGTTAGTATACTAATGTATACATTAATTGGTATATATAGCATTATTCTAGATCGGTGGAGCTATATGCATCAATTGGTGTACACTAGTGTACCAACTAGTGTTATGATATTATTATTAATCACATTTATTATACAAGTTACAAATACCCAAAACTATACAAATGATGCCACATCATCTGTTAGTACACTAGTGTGTACATTAATTTATATATATAGTATTATTAAAGATAAATAACATTATTCAACCTATTTTTCGATGATGTACACAAATTTGGATCGTAATTTCAAACATATCTTATCATAATTTAAAAAAGGACAAATTACAAACACCCCCCTCGAGGTTTGGTGAAAATATAGATTTTCTCTCGAGGTTTGAGAAATTACAAATTGCCCCCTGAGGATCAAATTTGCATAACAAATTAGGGGGGAATCTGTATGAAAATAAAAATTTCAGAGGGCAATTTGTTATGAAAATATAAACCTCAGGGGGCGTGATGTAATTTCTCAAACCTCAGGGGAGAATCTATATTTTCACTAAATCTCGAGGGGGTGTTTGTAATTTACCCTTTAAAAAACTCATATTTTTGTATATTGTATGATGCATAGTACATAGTAATAAATTAAAAGATACTAGACCAAGCCATAAATTCAAATATCTTAAATTTAGTTGTCGGTGTTATTGGAACTTCAGAGTCTGTTTGTTTTTAGAGTTAGATTGGATAAGATTGTTCTTGTAGAGATTGTAAGTGCGGGCATTGTTAGTGTGAAGACTAAAAAAATATTGTGTTTGTTTGATAATTACCGGACTAGTAAGAATTTAGATTTGTTTTGTCATTTTATGATGAGATTAACTATATGAAATAACATAAATATCCTTGATATTTTTGATAAATTTTAAATTATTATATTCTTATATTAAAAATTATAAATTGTTATACTATAAATTATTATATTTTAATATTAAAAATTATCATACAATAAATATGAATAAGGACAAAATAATCATTTAATATCTAATCTCAATGACTCATTTTATAATGCCATCTTTTCTACCTCCCTACCAATCCCATGGTAAGAGGCCATAGGATGGTTTTCCCTTGTCATAATTTCAAAACAAGGTATTAATAATCCCAACACACTATGAAACCTAATCTCAAGCCTTACTTCTGAAAATAAACAAATCTAATGTCTCATTTGACAAGGCTTATAAGTCCAAATAGTAAATCTAGGAAACCAGACTTATCCACTCAAATTGTTTTGGATGGGTGGTTGTGTAGTGAAAATTAAATTTATATTGTAGATGGTTTATATGTAGAATAAATTTAAACCACACGGTATTAATTCTGAATAGTTAAGTCTAGATTCGTAATATTATTAAAAAAAAAAAAAAGCCTAAAATATGCCAAACATATTAACTTATTTAAGTAATAGCTTATTTGTGGGCTAAATTTTAAACTAACAAAGTTAGTTTAAAGTGAAGTGCCAAAGTATTTGAAATTTATTATGCAAGAGTACTCAATGACCCTATGTTTATGAGTTCTTTGTCATAAAAAAAAAAATAATAATAATAATAATAATAAAAAAGAAGAAAAGAAAATCAAACAAATCTATATTAATGTGATTTTTTTTCCTTCTCCAAGTGAAGATGATATGTAGTAATGGATAAAGTTATACAAACAAAAATTCATATAAAGTTTTTGAACGTAATGATGTAATTCAATGTAAATATTTGACTTTGGAACGACGTCGTTTCAGCAGTTTTGAGCCATTGTGGCCACAAAAATTGTGGCCCTCAAGCATTGTTGTTTATGAAAGAAAAGGAAAATGTTTGAGGGCCACAATTTTTGTGGCCACAATGGCTCAAAATTGTCAAAACGACGTCGTTTTAAATGCAAAACATGCCAAAACGACGTCGTTTTAGCAGTTTTGAACCATTGTGGCCACAAAAATTGTGACCCTTTAACATTGCTGTTATGAAAATTACATTGCCACATCTAGAATAAAAAAATAGGGAATAGAGTGACAAGGTGACAAAAGAGATGGTCCAAAAACAATGAGAAAGATCCAGTGATCAATTGGAGGAGAGGATGTATAAAATAACCAAGATGTAACTTTAAAAAAATGATTGTTTTGTCATCACAAGTGTTTTAAGTCAGAAAAATAAATAAATTGTTTGGATTGACTAAATAACTTTTTTATAAAAAAGCATATATATATATATATATTTAATAAACTCAACAGAATTGTGTAAAGATGATTTTAATCTTGAGGTAATTAGTTAGGTTAACAAGAGATCCACAATATCATAAGCCTAACATAAAACAAAATTTTGAAAACACTCGCAATACTACTCCCTAACTTTTTTAACAATTACTAAACAAATCAATTTCTTTACATTTTTTTTTCTTTTTTCTTTTAAATTTTTTTAAAAAAAAATGGAAGACGAACAAAATGACTAAAAAAACAATTACCAAAACCCACAAATATTGGTAGACTGACACATCAAGTAGTTAGCACAATTCATGACTGTTTTGGTCAAATTTTTGGGAATTAAACCTAAACCTAGGTATTGTGAGAACATATTTTCGAACACTTTTTTCATCTAGCCATCATCCAAGAGTTTATTCAAAAGCCACAAACAGCTAGTGACATTGAATGACTATTGAATTGTTGTCTTTGGAATCATCAGAATCACAATGTGGATGGTAATCCAGCAAAAAGCCTAGCACTCAATGGTTTATCATCTTTAGATCAAGTACTTGATGATTGACTGAATGGAGAAAGTATTGCAAAGAATCTAGATCCAATATTGTGAGCCGGTGTGATATGCACCATATCTACATATTGTTCTCTATTTCTTACATATATATGTATGAAAATTTCTATAATACCTCTCAAAATAAAATTTATAGGACACACTAACAAGTAAGACTGCGTTGATAAAATTACATTAAGTCATAACTAAATTCATATATGATTTGATTACAACCTAATATGATCACATTACGAGCGCATGTAAATTAACCTTACCCAAGGTGACAAGTGATCTTAATTATGAGTGTGTACCGTATAATAAGCAGCGCATCATATATATATACCTAGGAAGTTGCTTTGGGCGGAAAATTTATTTTGATTCAAGTAAATCCAATCGCCAATTACATGGATAGGTTAACCCAGCCATTCTAACCAATTGTATTAGAAAGACATTTTCAAAAATCTTTATGTTTTATTATATATATATATATATATATTCAAAAACTATAGAAAATCCCTAACAACTTTTGTATCCTAATGATTCTTGAATGTCATGATGATAAATTTATATACATAAAAATAAAAAATAAAAAGAAGAAAAAAAATAGAAACAGACTAGTGTGGATCAATGTGACCTCCTTTTTTTTGGGTGAATAAAGATCATCAATGTGACCTTTGACCTCAATGCTGCACCATCAGCCCTCCCCCCTAAACACTTCAAAGTCACTACCAACTGCCTTACCTTACTCCCTAAGAGCCCAACAAAATGCACAAAAATAGTCCAATATTATTAGTCTCCCAAACTTCAACTGTTCATTTTGCGTGCTGCAGGTCCATGATCACAACCATGCACTCACATTCCAAACCACTCGATTATCTTACCTTTGACCAGTACCTCTTACTTTTTTCGCAATGGAATCAATCCGATCATGCTTGTGGCTGTTTGGGAATTTCACATGATTCTGTGCTCATCCGAAGTTTAGCTATGATCCCTGCTGCTCTTCTTCAGCAACATTGACATGTGTTCGATATAATCATGGCCTTTACGTGTCCCTCCCATAATCCATTCCAGAGCCTCGGCCGCTGCATCTTTTTCAGCTTGTTTCTTGTTTTGACAAGGTTGCCCCATGATCTGCATTCCGTTGAACTCCACAGTGGCTATGAACTGGTTGTTCTGTAGTTGCCTTGCCTTGTACGTTGGTGCATCGTAACCTGCCCGTGTGACCAACATTTGGAGCTGGCTCTTTGAATTATCACCCCCGGGACCACTGTCTGTTCTTGAAACCAAGGCTTGAGGTTTTGCTGTAATAGGAGGCAGCTTCGAGGGCAGTAGCACCTGATGGTTGAACACAAATCTGCCATCGCTTTGATCCTCGGAGATTAGCAACCTTACGGCTGATATAAGTTTGATATGTTTGTGTACTGTCCTGGGATTCAGCAGCTGCAAATAGAAATTTAGTTATCTGACTTAATGATAAACAAGTATGTGAAGCGTTAATTACACTTAACATTGCTGCACTTGCACCTAATCTCACTTTGGTCTCCTCACTTTTAGTTGTGACAGTCAACCAACTCACACTTTAGGTCAAGTGTCACTCTAATCTGTTCATTTAGCGTTAAATAAGGCTGACAAAAATGAACTTTTTCCTAATTTCATGTTTAACGAGCCTTTTTTTGGGCGTCTTCCTCAATGAACCATGATATTTAGTGTGTATATATCATTGTAACAGAGTATATAACAGAGATATACAAATGTATATAACGTGGTTTTGGGAGGGAGAACTGAAAAAGGGCGTGTTAGACATAAAATTACTAAAAAAAACGCATTTCCATTAGCCTCATTTAACAATGCTAGAATGACGGCAGGATGAGATTTTCACTTGACCTAAAGTGCGTTGACTGTCACAATTGGAAGTGTAGGGACAAAAAGTGAGGTTTCAGTACAAATGCCGGGGTGTTAAAGTGTAATTAGCCCAATGTGAAATATGTAATGCACTATAATTAGGCAGAAGAAGAGACAACAAATTTAATACATATTCAGTAGGCATGCAACACAACAGCAAGTTGCCACCTATGCAATTTCTGCAAAATGACATGAATAACAGATCTGATGTGAATGAAAACTACTTCTGAACAAATAGCTCCAGTTAAAGGGATCACTTACTTTGTTATGAATTAACTCCTCAAATTCTCTCCTTAAACTTTGGTACATTTCTGCTATGGCAGGTTTCATGAAGAACTCCAAGTATCCTCCTAACATTTTTAAGTGGCCATCCTGTTAAATCAAGGAAATGATCGCACAAAATCAGCATAAAAATCAATAAAATGCAAATGCAAATACTAACAAATGCCCCCGGGGCACTTATTGAAGTGTAATTAACGATCTATTTTTATACCAAAAAATAGTAAAGTAAAATATTGATTTTTTATTACCATTAAATGCGAGGATTCCAGCCAATTTAGTTTATTGTAGGGGAAATTCTATTTGCATACCACTAGTTGTCTAAGTACACACCATCTCCTCACTATTTACTTAGTTCACACCACACCCAAATTGAAAGTTCTGATTTTGTCGCAATAAACCACCATCTTTCAAATAATGCCAAATTACCCTCTTCTCCAACAAACCCTATAACCGTAACCACTGCCACCAGCCCCTCAGCTACCTCTCCTCCTCACCGAAGCTGGAAATTTGGTGGTGGCTGGTGATGGCAGGTAGGAAATTAGGGTAAGTTTTTGTCCAAAAGTGTAATTTGCTTGAGGGACAAAACTGTACTTAAAAAAATTGAAAGATGGTGGTACTGAGAAAAGGAGTGTTGTGCAAATAGAATCGCCCTTATTGAATCACTTACTAAAGTTTTTTACTACCAAACATACCCTTTTCAAATGCTATTCATTTTACTTTAAAATAATAATTGACATTAATTACCCCTTAGCAGGACCGAAAATAAAAATATGAATGTATGCATGAATATCTATCCCGACAAGAGTGCGACAACGACAGAGGAAGGTTTTAAGTAAATCACAGAGAGAGGGGGAAAAAAACTAAAACTTACGGTATCCCCTCTTGAAATGGCTCCACCAAATAGTAGCAATACTGAATCAGACACAGCTGTTGAATCCCGAAGAAAAACAGAATTCACTTTGATCTTCTCATTGAAAACTAGCCATGGATATGGAATCTTAGATTCCCGAGCATTGACAGAGTTCTAGGCAGATAATAAATAACAAGGAAAGAACATGCAATTAGAGTGAAATGAATCAGAGCACCCAATTAGAACTTTCTCAATTCATAATAAGAACAAATTGTTACTGCATAAAAATTGAAGTGTTCTCCAGAGAGGAACTTACAGAATACAGAAGCACCTGACCATCCTCCATTGTTTTTAAAGAGAATGACTTTTCATTGTGCTGTTAATACATTTACGTCAGCACTCACAAAGACTACATGAAGTATAAGAAATAAAATTTTGCACATAACTCTAGACTTGGTTCGTTTAAAGTAACAGAAAAAGAGATCTTGCCAAATCATTCCATCTATTATGTTTCGAGTAGTAAAGTTAAATCATTATTTATCTTTCATATACCAATTCAACATAACAGATGCACACCAAGGGATAAATCAAGGGGATCACGCATCAAAGAGTTCCATCATACACCTCAACTCCTACAGCCCGTTTGGATAAAGTGATTTGGTGAGAAATGATCAGAAATGGGGAGAGAGAGAGAGAGAGAGATAATTCTTTTCTCATATTTGATTTACAAGTTAAGTGAGAAATGTTGAGATAAAGAACTCTCTTATTTTGTAGGTTTCATTTCTCACAAGTATTGAAATTTGGTGAGAAACAAGCTAATTGGTTGTATTTTTTTATAATATCGAGATAGCCCATCAAAATACAAAGAAAGAAAAAAAAAAAAAAAAAAAAATACCACCCATATCCCTATATCACATACTTTGCTTCTTACACATCTAAAGATGTTATTGAGATCATTTCTTTTCTTTTCAACCCTAGCTGAGAGTCCACAAGCTTTTCTTTTCTTTTCTTTTCTCACCCCCGATCCAAACGGAAATCAAAATAAATTATGAACCAAACAGAAGATATGGATGCCAAGGCTTACCACAATAGAACAAATTCCAGGATACAGGCCATAGCAAATAACTGCTCGAAGGAGATGTTCATCATAACTCCATGAATTGCAGGTGGTTGTATTGCCATCAACAAGGCCAGTGTCCTTGAGCAAGGAGTAGAACTCCCTTCGTAGAGCGTCGATAGCTTTCATTGATTGTGCAGAAAGAAAATTCTTCCAGCAGTATTCATATCCAGCTAGGTCTCTTTCAGCATCTTTCCAGCCCTCATATGCACGGACAAGAGCAAGGTGGTCACTGTAATCACGTGAAAATTGTGCTTTTGCTAAATCCGCTAGCTGCAAAGAGGAAGACCCGTACATAAATGAAACATTGCCAAAGATACACAAACAAAAAACTTGCAATATATTAACACATGCGTTACTGTAGTCAGTTTCACTAATTTTGTATCATGGAAAAGTCTACTTCCAAAAATTATTTGCAACCCTCAGATCCAACCACCCATTCACCACCCTTTTTTTGATAATTGGGTATCCGGGTAAACCCGACTAATCGAACCACCCATTCCTCTCTTAACCCCCACACCTCTTAACCCCCACACCCCATAAAAGACGAAGAAGAACGCACCAAGTGCCAACAACAAGAACAAGTGAACCTACAAGGTGAAAATGAAAATTTATTTCATTGTAAATTTTAGGGTTAGCATAGCATATTAGCATCACAATTGCCAATATTCTATGTTGTCATTACAGCCAAAAACTGGCCTTATAAACTGAAAATATTAGTTTATTTTTTATTTATTTTTTTATTAAGTAGAGTTAAATGAGCAAATGGGCATCACCAACATACAAGAGAAGAGAACAAGAGGGTTAAGGCCTCACTCAAAACAAAGTTCTACAATGAAATTTACAAAAGGTGGATTCACAAAAATATCTTGAAAATATTACGTAGAACGAAATGTTAAACTAACAAGTTTAATATTAGCAAAGCATCACACCTTAGCAGCTCTAAGTTCCAAAATAAATTAGCCAAAAACATATGGATAAATATTTTTGTAGATTTATATAGAAACAAGGCCACACATATGACCACCACCAAACCATAAAAGACAGAAAGCTCAACTTACATCCTTCTTATCCAATGGTGTTAGGAATGGATCTCGGACACTAAGACCAGCCACAACAGTCAATACTGAATCCAGGCAGTTTAATATAGCACCAAGTATTAGCATCTTTCCAAGTTTAGGCTCCATTGGAAGCTTTGTCAAGTAGTGTCCTGTCAAGGGCTCAGACCACATGAGGCTAAATATTCCAAATTCTAACAATAAATCCTTAAAACTTCATAGAATCTGTAAGTCGAAAAATAGATGAAGAGATAAAACATATTTACATACCTAATACAGTCAAATTTTCATTCTCGTCTAATGCCCCAATGATTTTTAAATATTCAATAGCATTTTGAACCTACAATAAAATTATATCAAACAGTTATGCACGTCAAATAACTGACATGCATGAATGTGATGAAAAAAAGTGATAAACATGCACACTTCAGACACAGAAGTATGCACGACAAATGGAACTTATAAGCGGAAATCTCAATGAGCATTACCGCTAATAATTCTGGTGACTGCAAAGCCCTAGACAAGAACTCAGAAATACTTCCAAGTTTCAAACTTTTGATTTGCAGACAAAGGGACTGCAAAGGTGTCCTTAAAATTTCTGGTAACTGATAATCTGCAAAAGCATCATATACACATCTGGGATAAAGATGGAAACACTCTCCTGGTTGAACGCGGCCAGCTCTTCCTCTTCTCTGATTTTTCCATTAAATGCAAATTACATGTATATACGCATATTAGTATAAATATAATTAAACAAGATAGTAAAAAAAATGTCATAGCGAAAAACAGAAATGCCACTACAACTAAACACCCAGAAGAAGGAAAATATTGTAAATTTTCTGTATCAAGCATATAAAAATAATTAACATTCTAACAAGCACAAAATGTAGGTAAAATTCTAAAATTTATACAAAATATAACTAACATGCTGATAAATTTAGCAACTCAATCTAATGATCAATGTGGATGGACTCTTTGTCATCTCCATCTTTCATGTCTTCCTCTATGGCCATTTCATACAAAACACATTTATCAGCTTAGTAGAAAAGAAAACATATAACTTGAAGATCACAGTAGCAGCTGCCACTTACACAAGGATAGGCATCCAAACAATTCAAATTCAGTTTTCGAAAACCGAAGAATAAAGTATTTGTGTTTTCATCCAAGTTCTAACACTGGACAAGCAGCCAACCAAAGGACAAATGTGGGTCTACTTCAATCAGGTAACTGATAGCCCAAATGAGGAAAAAAACAAGACCATGCGTATCAAGTAAAATTAATAACGGAGATCCAGCCACATTGATCAGCACTAATTTGTCCGTGTTCACAGTTGAGTTGGCTTGGGATTACTTAATTCAAAAATCACCCAGATTGATAATGTAGTGTACACACTCTTCTTATGGTTCCTGAATGACATCCAACGGTCACATTAAGTAAAAATTCTTGTACAAGGTTTTTGTGCTTGATGCAAAAAACCCTTTGGGTAACATCTGGAATGTAGCTTCCACCAAATTGACCACATATGTCATAATCAACCAAATACAAAGAGCATATAACAGAGTTCACAATTCTAAGACAATAATCAGTAACAATAGGTTATTGAATAAAGACTCAAGGGAAGAAGAAGAAAAAAAAAAGGAAAAGTGCCAAATTTGATCCCTCAACCACAATATTGATACTTCTAAGTTGATTCAAGCTGACAACTTTCGAGTGCACCGTAAGTAACATTAGGAATCACCTAATAATTTCCCTTCTGGTGTTTCTGCAGGAGTTTTTATGATTCCACCAACAACTCATGTCTGCTTCAAATTAGTCATTTTGTTGGATGCCATATTAATGGTGCTATCTAGAATCAAGATATCATTTTCCTACATGAAGCTTCTCAAGATCATCTTTTGAGAAAATACTTCACTGTTTGCATAGAGTGCTTCACGAACGTAGACTACAATTGATGGAGGAACTTTACTTCCACAACTCTCCAGAGTTCCTCAGTCGGGCAGAAATGATGAGGAACGTAAAGGAGTTGGTTGAAGAATAATTAATTAGAAATTTTAAATCTATTTAGGAATTCTAATTAATTTATAAGTTTTGATGTCATTAGGATTTTAGTTTCCTTCTTTTTTTAAAAAAAACTTCCTTGATAGATAATATTTTGGGCTGAGGATGCATTCTTGAACTAATATGTTATTTGTTATTTATTTTCATGTATTAAGTTTATTTGTCACACAGTATTCACATAGTCATAAATATATATATATATATATATATTCTCCCGCGTTCTTATTGTGCCGATGCAATGATTTTCCAAAATTAACCATGTCAGCAAGCCTGCTTGATGCCATCTCTGTGTTGGTGCCTCATTTAATTAAAAAAAGACCTCCAAAGTTGCAACTTTTAATTGAATATCCATCAACTTCGAAACATATTATGTACAATACCTTGCAAATATATAGAACACTAACAATTATCAAAACCTTGACATAGAATCAACATCATTCAGAACTCAAATAGAGAAGGAACACAAGAAAACAGTAAAACCATTACAAACTTTAACATCACATAAGCAAGAACTCCCTAAAGTAGCATGGATGAGAGCACCGTCACAACTTGACATTTCCTTCCTTGCAGTCACATAGTGCTTTTAGAATGTAGAAGTTTAACAATTTTGACTTGGAAGGCAATACTTTTTGCTCATTGAAAAAAATAAAAATAAATAAAAAAGAAAATAACTGGGGAAAAAAGCCACTAAAGGTCTAAATGATCATCACTAATGCTGTCTAAAATCAAGTAACTTTTAAAAAATTGTGTCTACATGAAACCTGACAATCCAAGCCATATCTAGATCATAAGGAAAGCACAACCAATAACTTAACTTCGAAACTCTTAAAAAGATACATTTCTGGAAAAAAATGTGTTAGTCCAAAAAACACATAATTAATCAGATAGGTTACCATAGGTAGCATTTAATACGTTATATTAAGGAACAATATTTCTAATTTTCTGGGAATTAAAATTTCAATTAGTAGAAAGGCAAATCTCTGATTATGAAAAAAAGGAAAGTAAAACAAAACAAAAATAATATCCACCATATTTATCAACAAAAAAAATAATAATAATATCCACCATGGAGGTGGGGGAACTAAAACCCTCGTTTAACACATTTTGACTCCATGACTTGGACTTGATTACAGTTTTACATGAAGCAAAAATGGAACACTTCATCTCAGCTACTTCATACCTGCATGGCTATACCAATACAAAAGCTAAAGTGCTGAGCATAGGGGAGCTTTTAGAGGCTTGATAAGAGTTTAAAACTTAGAAGATGACAGATTCAGAAAAATACCCCAATTCAAAAGAGGGATCACTTTTTAATAGAGGGTCCTACAGAGGATAAGAATTTCTGTCATCATTTTTCTGCAAGAATTATGTCATTCAAGACGACAATTTTGATCTCACTTTGAAAACTTGAATTTCATGCCCCGTGTGTGAGGGCATGACTTGTCCCAAATAAATGCCTGGTTTCAGTAGTCTGTACACCTCTTCCATATTGGTTAAGTCTGTAGTACAGAAAATCTAAAGAATTGCTCACCTTTCATGCAATTCCTTTTCTAAGGATGAAGTATGCAGGCCAAACAATCAGGGGGATCATGAGCCCTCGGTTGAAGACATGGAAGACTGCCATGTAGCCTCCAGCATGTGCCTGAAAATTATGTGGCTTTCATCTCATGTGGTCTTTTCAGGGGTACTAAGTATTGAGATTAACGAGGGAACAATAAATAGTTATCAAACTTTTTTGTCATGGCTACAACTTAAATCTTTCTGGCTTACAGTTTGTCTATAACACTTCAACCAAGAAAATGCCCACACTTAAAAATTGGAAAGTTTTCATGTTTAGCAAGGATTTAAATCACATCGAAGAGAGTGCAAATATAACTGTGAGGTCACTTGCAGAAAAGAAAATTCTCTGCCTATAACAATATATAAAAAATTCCATTCGCCGGACAATATAAAAGATATTTCATGTGTGGAGAACTAAGCAAACAAAAATAAAATAAAATAAAAGATGCGCAAAAACAAATTGAGGAAGAGGGGAAAAAAGGAAAAAAAAAATCACAAGGTAAGCCATGAACAACAAATATAGTAGTCCCCTTCCTAAAAGATTTTTCAACTGAAATAAACTTACTTGTTTAGCAGAAACCTTTGAAATCCAGGAAGGAAGCAAACAAGGAGTGTTATTCAGTGCATCATATGATGTTTCTTTCGCCTTTCCGCAGTCGATAACAAAAACCACATCATTAATTGTTATACTTGTCTCGGCAATATTAGTAGCTAGCACTATTTTCCTCACTCCATCTTCAGGCTCATCAAATATCAACCTCTGTATGCATTCACATAAGAATATATATATAGTAATTACAAAAGATCAACAAATAATATATAGCTATTCCGATTTAATCCTCAAATAAATATTTAAAATGACAATAAAAAAAGCTCGACATTAAATCACTTCCTTCCACTGAAGATAATGTAAAAAAAAAAAAGGAAAAATGATTTCAAAATAGATGCGCAAGTGAAAACACAAAAGGAAAACTCATACAAGGCAGATACAACACCGATTAGCAGATTCATACATTGAATGCATTTTTTTTAATAATCAAATTGACCAAAGATTATGAAATAAAGAAAGCAGGAATAGCCTGTACAACCTTAGTCACCTAATCCGTGCAAATATCATGGTGCTTGGCATTCTAGATTGAATTTTTTGGAGCAATGAATTTCAAATTTTATCATATATACAGCTATTGCACCATTTTATGATGGATTTACAAACATTGCATTTAATTCACCATTGATTGACCATCTGTCACTTTTTGTTCACAGTGATGCATGTGTTTTTTGTATGAGAAAACAAAAAACTGGGTGAAAAAAACTTTGGGATGTCAAGAATTGAACCAAATACCTCATCTGAGAAATAACAAGCTGCTTACCACAAACACAAAGCCAAGTTGTGGCTTAGGCATGTCCTTTTTATTATATAAGTTTCAATTAACTACTTCACTATAAAAGACGAAAAGGGTATGAACTAAACTAAAAGAATGATATTAAAATGGCTCATACACCAATTGATAAGTAAAACCAAGCATACTCTAATTATAGCCAAGGGAAATACCAATGGATAGATTGATAATACTCCAAAATACATGGAAGGAAAGTAGCATACAAGAAAGAACAAAGCTGAACCACAGACAAAACAACTATTATATGTCAAAATTACCTGCTCCGCACTGGCCATAGAACCATGGCATGCAAGCAACAAAACTCGGCTTGTATCTCCCAAGATAGGATGAGCTTGGAGCTTATCCTTCAGAGAGCTTATGTCATCCCACCCCGTCATAAATACTAAAATAGCTCCAGGCCTTTCTTTCTCACATATGTTGCATAGAAGATATTCAATGAGGTTAAAACCAATACAATCAGGATTCCAACAGGACAGAGATTCTTGTGTCTGTGGGCTAAAATCCTTAAAATCAGCAGCTCTGAGTGCATCCTAATAACATTTTTCCAAAAGAAGATATTAGCACAGGAAATACTGAACATGAATGCTATGAAAGTAGCTGCCAACATTTCAACATACCTCAACAGCTGAAGCAATTTGGCTCTTCCTCTTTCTTGGAGCTTGTTTGTTCATTTTCCACATCTTATCCTGACCATAATCATCGATTTGATTGTATGGGGTCAATTGATATCCAGTCATTTCCAGAATATTTTCCAGGAAATGAGTTCGAACAGGGTAGGTAAAGCCCTAATTAAACCAGAATATAAAATTAAGTTGGGTTCAAGGTCATATTAAATCCACAAGCAACATTATCAAACAATAAAATTTAAATATGGATATGTTTCCCACATTGTATGAAAGTGTCAACCTTTGCATTCTAACAAAAATTGATGTCAGGAAATGAAATAAACTTGCTATTGTACAAAAGTAAGTTGATACCTATGAACCTTGAAGGAAAACCTTCACTAGTAACACAAAATATGTATCATCATAAACAAAACAAGGAAATGTGTTACATGGACTCTTCTATTTCTCCCAAAGTATCCGTGTCCACCGGATATAACAAAGGTAAGGGTGTGGAATATGTGTCCGACACCTCCATCCAATTTAGACACTTAGATCCTCTAATTTTTTACGATATTTGATGAAAAAGAAACTCACATTTGTTAGTAAAGAAACATTTGTAGTCTCACATGGATTAGAGAGAAATTTCATATTTTTTTCTAAATCCTATTCAATTTCAAGTACCTTACTATATAATTTACATCATATTATCTGTGAAATATATGTGTTCATGACACGTCCCCATAAACATATCCAACCTTTGGATATTTATCCCAATATCCTAAGATTTAGGTTTATGAAAGTCTGACATTTGGACACACAAGCACCAGATATTCATACCCGAGTCCATGTGGCATATTAAGGATAATAATGCCCACCACTATGATTACCTCCCTCAATATCATAGTGGGGAGGGAAGTTATAACATACCTAGCATATATAAAAAAAATTCAAAAAAATGGAAAGCATTAAATAATGCCAGTACTGATTAGCCTAGTGTGCTTTCATAATTGTATATTTGTTATCAATTTTCTCATTAGGAGAATCAAATCATTTGAGGCCCAATCAACTAGTATTCCAACCTGGTGGTGCTGCATAAATCCCTCTAGAATCTCTTTTTTATGCAAAGATATGCCATAAATGATAATGAATATTTTATCTAATTTCTTAGACAGTGCAGAGCACCCTCTTCCTTTGTATAGACAAGACCTTTCAATTGGAACACGAGAAGTGTGACTACAGGAAGCACAGAAAATTATAAATAAAACAGTAGATAGATTAACAAGCAAAACATTACCCTTACTGTTGGTATTACTGGAAACAAGTGTAGTTTTCATAAATTTAGGAAGATTTCAATTTTATTTTTATTTCTTTTGGTTCTTTACAAAGTTAAAAATAATTTAAATTTTGTCATTAGAAGATAAATGATTGGGGGCTTTGAGAGGTTACACAAAATCATCCAAGAAACTCTCATTCTTCCTCAAGGGCTTTGGTTAGGCATTGACATGAGTTTTATTCATTTTTGTTAGAAGAAGAAAAAATAAATAAATAAAATAAAAAATAAAAAAAAATTTGTAGATGATGAGGGAGGGATTGTGTCCGCTTGTCAAAAGCATCATGTGGAAGCATACATTCAAGGAACATTGACAAGGAGACCATTTTGAGGGGGTGAAAAAAAAGAGTAAATTACTCCTACCCAATCTTGCTTGGAGAGCATCCACATTTACCACTAACTGTCCCTTCTTTTCCGTGCTAAGAAGGTATCCGAGCGTGTTAGAGCACCCAATTTATCTGAAACTGTTTATCCTTAGTCCCAAAACAGTTGGCTTACAAGAGTGAGCAAACTCAAGGAGAGTTTACTTTTGTAAAAATTCTACTTATCAATAGATTAATTGATACCTTGTCTTTTTTATGATAGAAAGTGAGTTAGGATTCAGCAACATTGTCCTTAGAGGCTAAGTTTTTGATGTGATGTGCTCTGAGGGGTAAATAACAATGACTAGATTTTTTTTTGTTGTATTTTGGTATGATGGTTATTTTGGTAATTTTTCATTTTAGGATTTTTTAAGAATCTGAGTCTCTATATAGGACTCCAATTAGGTCAGTTGAGAGGAGAGAAGTCGAACGAAGATGAAGAATGACACATCCACACCATCGATGAGAAAGGGTCAATGGCCTTTGAGGTTCAATGATCCCCGATAATGGCCAGTGGTGGTTTGATTGTAAGAAAAATTCTTCTAATCAATCTCTGTTTTTTCTATCGAGGTAAGAAACAACAATTGTTTCAATTTCAGTAAAAACCCTAATCAATCTCTTTTTTCTTTTTCCTTTTTTTCTGATGAACAATGTCGTTCAGTGCCTTAAAAGGTTTAAAAATATATATATATATATATAAATATTTGAATTGCACAGAATCGCATGACTGCACGATTCGATGCGATAAAACCGATTCAAAAAATGAATCGCACAATTCAGAGAAATTTGCGATTCCAGATAGCGATTTGTATCGTGAAGCCTAAAACTCATATCATGTCGTATGAATGCACATGACAAAGCCATTAAATTCTTCCCTTTCGTTTTGTGATCCAACTCAATCTACCTGACGGGAAGGAAGTGTATTATTATTCATAGACGGGAAGCAGGAACAAGATCTTGGAGCAGATGAACCAAAACTTTCCTTAGCTATATAAGAAAATGGCTACACCACATGCAAAGGGAGATGGAAGCCCATCAATTTTGTATATTAAGATGTCCAAAAAATTGAAATTCTAAGAAAAGGAAGATTTCTGTCAAAGAACAAGTATGAAGACAAAGGATTTCCATAGAACTGAGGAGAGGGATATTTGGAAGTGATTTTCTTCCTCCGCACTTTTCTCAGAGGTGAAGTATAGATCTATTGGCAATTATATAGTGCGCTGGGAGGAATAATGATATCCTTTGAAAATGATGTTCTAGGGACAGAATTTAGTCTCTCATAATTATGAGCATGGTTGTTTGTATCATACGATTCGCGGTCTGAACACATGTTTCCTCTGTAAGAGTAGTGATCCATATTCATATTTACTGTTACATTCCTCCATGTTAATGGCAATGGCTCTCTACCCTAGCAAGGATTTGTCTTTCCCATTCAAGTTCGCCTAATTCAAGATGTATTTCGGAGGTTTTGCAAAGCTACTATAGAACTAAAGGGCACTAGCATTGTGTTTTTTTACAGCTTTACTTCAGGTTGTTTGCACTGAAACGAATTCAAAAGCAGTCAAGAATGTAAATTGCTGGCCAATGATCTTTTAAGTATTGTTCTTATCGAACTGCCTATTGAAGAATTTAAACAGCTGCCTGACAGAAACTATCAAAAAACTAAAAAAAAAATTGAAGAGGCTTGCATTCAATGGAAATTTTGGCAAGGGGGGGGGGGAAAAAGCACATGAAGAAGTGAAAGAAATGCTTTTTTGTTTTTATTGATTTTCTCTCTTTTTGTTTCAACTTTTTGTACAAGGGTGGTAACTCCTTGGAACTTTTTCTAATACAAATATTATTTACTTATCAAAAAAACAAATTAACAGATGCTTTCACAGTTTCAACTAGAGTAACTAGCTTGTGGTGACTCCATAATGAACTATTGAACTTGAACAGCATGTCATAAAAATCAATTTTTATTTTTACAAATGCTCTCTTAATAAATACCATTCAAGCTTGGATTGGGGGCAATTTTAGAGACTTCACTAGAAACACAATTCTTACTCTCCCAACGTACCACTCAGTGTTTTAAAAGGCTCCAGGCGCACCGAGGTGATACGGTCTCCTATAGCCTAAGCGCGAGGCTCGAGGCGAGGCGCACGCCTCACCAACGCGAGGTGCACATAGTAAAAGCAAAGCAAAATTATAAAATAGGCAAACTTTTTAACATAACAAATATATGTAGTATATTAAAAATATAATATCTAACAAAAGGTTTAAAGTATCACATTCACATTCACCAAAAACCTTATGTACTAAGATCATCCACATAAAATTAATAAACACATATCATTAAAATTAATAAAAAAAATTGTTCTTATAAACTAATCAGCAAATATATATATATATATATATATTAAATAAATAAGACAGAAAAGCCAAAAAAAATTGAAGAAGAAAAATAAAAAATAAAATAGAAGAGAGAGGGTGGGGGGGGGTTAGAATCAGCCAACATAAAAGTAAAGGAAAAAAAAAAGAAAGAAATAGGACAGAACAGAAGAAAGAGAGAGAGTGACTGAGAGATAGAGGAAAGAAGAAGAAGATTGAAGAACAAGAAGATCAAAGAAGATCAAAAGAAGAAGAAGAGAATCGAGCACTGACCAGCAAGCAGCAACTAGAGAGCAATGAGCAGCAAGCAGCAAGCAAGCAGAGACCAGCGAAAGCAAAGAGCAGCAACGAGAGGAAGAAACGCGAAGCGCATAAGGCCCTCACCTCGAGCCTCAACATAAAGCGCTCGCCTCATTGCCTCAATTGCACCTCCTCTATGTCACCTCACCTCAAGCTTAGGCACGCGCTTAGGCACGCTTTTCAAAACACTGCACTGCACTATTTATTCATCAAAGTGAAATTTTAACTATTCAGAATGTGTTATCAAAGGAGCTATGAGGTTTGCATCTTGGTTAAAAGGAACTCTAGTTCAGTGGTGGGACAGTTACCCTTCCTCACTCCAATCATTGGCATTTTTCTTCTTCAACTGGAAAATTAAGAGATACATGGTACGGAAAACAAGGAGACTAACACATTGATGTAACCTGGAAAATCACAACAATAAACACAAACTGCAGTGTATTATTGAAATAGATATGTTTTGGATCAATTAGGCAATAACTTGGGGCTAGAGAGAGACAAAAAAGTGGAAAAGCCTAGAGTCCACTAGGGGCCTTGAATCCGCAAGTATAGAGAGAGAAAGATATGGAAGAAAACCATATAGTCCACTAAGGGGCTTGAATCCACATGCAGAAGAATAGAGAAGGGGGTGGAGGGGGAAAGATACATGGTCATTACCCTTAACAAACCCACAGAGTTCTCACATCTTGTCCTCCGCTCAAGTTCTCAACTGACTCAATTGAGTCCTATTTATAGACTCTTTAAAAACCCTAAAATGCAAAATTACCAAAATAATCCTCATACAAAAATATAACTAATCAGGCTCATTTTCCCCGTAGACCACATCACATCACATATTGACACAAAAGGAGGAAGCAAAAGAGATTTTTAGGTCCTCTTCTATCCAACTTGATTGTTGGAGTGCTTGATTGAGAGGGGACTTCATGTGATCATTCAATGTTTTGTTTTATGCCAGGTTGGATGAGGGGCAATTTATGCCATCTCCTAGTGCTTCTTTTTGTACCAGGTTGCTCATTTGTTACCTTAATCAACTAATTCTTCATCATTATTTCATTTCTACCAGTCTCCTTATCTATGAAAAATTTGACTTTCAATGAAAGGAGAATTGGGTAGTTTAGGTTTCCATTTATTATTAAGCTTCATTTATGCAAAATGGAGTACATAAAATGTATTAAGCAATTCAAATTAGCAAAAGATAACGCACCTTTTCATTCCTACTCCACAATTTCTCTCCAATCTGATCATCCGGTATTTTAAGGACAACCTCAACCAAGTAATCCATTTTTTAAATTTTTTTGGCTCAGCACAAGTAATCTATTTGTTATGTTAATACTAAACTCAAACATAAATTAATTATGGCATGACCAGATTTACTCATTTCCACATCCTCGAATCTAAAGTAAATGGAAATAGTGAGATAGCTCCAAGGTAAGCAAAAACCAAACCACATAATAATACAAGAGGCTAAACCATTGCCAAAGTGAAATATTTCCCTCACAAAATCAAAACAAGAATCAGAAAGTATATTTGTAACTTCAAATTTGTGTGGGTAGAACAGAATATGACATCCAATAACAAGCATATATTATGCATATAACAACAGTAGCTCTATCAGTAAGCTTCATATCATTAGAAAATCTACAGCATCAAATGAAACTAGACATGCTGTACCACAAGTAGCAGCCAACTTAAATAAAAATGTGTGCCTAAAAATGGTCAATACTACTAATTACAGGTAAAACTACGTAGCAGCATATATAACAGCAGAACAAAATAACATGAATCATTATTATTGAACAATGGCAACAAGTGACTGCATTCACTTGTGAGTAGAACAACTATTCATGAGAATCTCACCGGAATATGAACCATTGGAGCCCCACCAAAGTAGGAAGAGAAAAGCTCTGCATCTAAGGTTGCACTCATCAAAATCAACCTCAGTTCCGGTCGACGAGGAAGAAGATCTTTGAGGACAATAAGTAGAAAATCTAGAATTGAATATGCATCAAGTTAGAAATTACATCTCAAATTCCCAAGCATAATAACCTCCATTAAGACAACATTCTACCTTCATTCATTCCACGCTCGTGAATCTCATCGACAATAACATGAGTGACGCCCTTCAAATTTCTGTCTACCAGTAATCTTCTCAACAAGATGCCTGTGGTGCAAAAGAGGAGGTGGGTGTCCTTTCCTTTCATACCCTCCAACCGAACTTTATAACCAACCTTTATAGAAGGAAACCAAGAAACAGAAATATTACTTAGGATAAAAAAATAAAACCCCCAACAAAGGTGATGGATGGAAAATGCCAATAAATGGTTGCGATTGTAGCAGAAAACTCACTGTTTCACCCAATTTCTCTCCCCTCTCTGCAGCAACTCTTTCAGAAACAGACATAGCAGATATTCGTCGAGGCTGAGTACAGATAATACTACATAAGGGTCCATGAACAGACTCAATCTCAGATTCCAAAATGAATTGGGGAATCTGCGTTGTCTTCCCACACCCAGTTTCACCTGAGACGATAACAACCTGTAACAAAATCCTACCTATTATAGAATTACATCAAATCAAATTACAAAGGTGGGGGGGAAAAGTGCACATTAACACTACTAGAAACCAGTTTGTCTTTTTAAACATCCAATTCTCCAATAAGTTGTATCATTTGTAAAGTTAGAAATCTTGACAATCAAAAATGTATGATACGAAGGTGCCAAAGGGAACAACACCTAAGTCCCAAATCAAACATAAAAGCCATGTTTATTCATTTGGAGTTGCAGTGAAACGAAATCATTTACCATTCTATTGGTTCAAAATGATTGAGCAGGTCCACACTACATGCATAATAGGATCCAGTAACAAACTTTTGGAGCATTAAAAGCCTAGAAAATAATATTGGAAATTTGTGTTAATGCATATAATAAGATAGTGGCATATGATAGTGGTGTTGGTGGTAGATAGTGGCATGTATAGAATATGATAGTGGTGTTGGTGGTAGATAGTGGCATGTATATAATATGATAGTGGTAGATAGTGGTAATATATAATATGTAAGTGGCATATAATGGGTTATAATGATGTTTGTAATATCTCCTATATAAGGAGTGTCATTTGGTCTTGTAAAATAAGAAGTTTTGAATATAACAGAAATATATTCCTTCTTCCTCATATTTTCGGAGTTCTTCTTCCTCATATTTTCTAAGTTGGTATCAGAGCTACAAAAAACACAGCAGCCCTAATTAACACTACTAGAAACCAGTTTGTCTTTTTAAACATCCAATTCTCCAATAAGTTGTATCATTTGTAAAGTTAGAAATCTTGACAATCAAAAATGTATGATACGAAGGTGCCAAAGGGAACAACACCTAAGTCCCAAATCAAACATAAAAGCCATGTTTATTCATTTGGAGTTGCAGTGAAACGAAATCATTTACCATTCTATTGGTTCAAAATGATTGAGCAGGTCCACACTACATGCATAATAGGATCCAGTAACAAACTTTTGGAGCATTAAAAGCCTAGAAAATAATATTAAATTAATACAATGAGGGTGGCGGTAACAAGTGAGGACTTCAAATTGTTTAAGGCGTAAAGCCTCTTTATTATAGAGTCAAGTGATACAAAGATTTCAATAGTCATTTATGCCTCTCTAGTGATTACAATGGTCATTTATCCATCATTTCAGTCAAAAGGAGTAATTAGTACAGCAACTTCAGGTCAGGCAGGTCCTGACATACCTGATTCTGTGAAATGGCCATTAATAAAGCATCCTTCTCTTTATAAGCAGGGAGACTTTGACGAAATTTCATCATCTTTCTACCTTCTCGAGATTCCTATAACAAATCAATTTATTACAACATTTGTACCGTTCTGTCCTGAATTCAGAATTAGAGAAGATAACCTAACTTGCATGATTTCTGAAGTAAATAAAGCAAAACACCCACAAGTAATTGACACTAAATGGCATGTAAAACTAGGAAGCTAAATCAGTAGAAAACATAAATCACTAATAATTTACTACCATATTCAACTAGTAATACAATCTTCTCTATTTACCATAACAATAAACTGGAACATGAACTCAACATTAATCAAGAAAGCAAAAATAATTTTTTTCCAACAAAACAAAGTATATAAAGCAATGAAGGTGCAAAGGAATCCCTTAATATCTGTTAATTTGCACCAAGAAAATTGATCTACATTCATATTGCAATACAATCCACACAACTATGTTCATAGTTGTATGATACTGAAAATCTTAGGCGCTAGATTGAAACTCAAATCTTATGGTATACTGAAAAATTATCAATTGTTAGCATAGATGGGATCACAAAGGAACCACTATCTTTCTTCTTCTTTTTTTGATAAATAACCAAACTTTATTGAGAAAGCATCAAGATGATGCAAAGAATACAAAAGCGAAAACAAAAGCCCGACCGAACTAACAAATCAAATCCTCCACAACATCTACAAAGGAACCACTATCTTTCATACTTCAAGCTAACCAGAATTGGATTAGTTATTGTAGCCAAATTTTCGGATGTCTTAAAAGGTTTTCGGAAAACTCAAAAGAGTGAAAGAAGTCATTATTCAGCCCTCTTATGTCGGACAAGGAATGGCTGCTGAAATGAGGAAAAACTTGTGCTCATAGAAATAGATGTGACGGTTGAAATACATATTGATAAAAAATGTCTCGTTGGCAGTTAAAGTACAAAGAATTTAACAAAGAAAAAAGGGGAAGAAGAAGAAGATAGTTCTAGGAATTACTCCTAGAGACCTTAAGCATCACATATAGGGTTTGATCATACAATCTTAAAAGAACATATTAGATGGCAATAATTCTCTCCAAATTAGAAGCAATTACATAGCTTTTATAAGTATTCTTAACCTAATAGGTATTGATTTCCAATTAGAAAACTATGACTTTTAATTCCCAAAACCTTAAATAATATCCATAAATAAAAATCCTAACAGAACAATAAATTACGGTTTTAGAGACAAATGTAGAGACGAAATCACTTTGTGAAGACAAAATATTTTAGTTGTCAAAAGTGTCGTCGTTGTATTTTTAGCATTGAAATTAGATCTTTAGTAATGAATTCCTATCATTTTGAAAGCAAAATTTTCGTCTCAAAAGTAAACATTTTGGCACGTAAGTGTTTTGTCCCTTGAAGTGCATTTATTAGTGAGATTTTCAAAATTGTGTCGTTGTCCTTTTTTTGACTTTTTGGGACGGCCTTTTAGTGACGACTCACATGACGAATGAAATTGGTCTCCTAATATTTTTTGCAACAAAATTTTCACTTTCAAGACGACAAAGTTTGGTTCCTAAAACCCTTGTATGTTGTACTGTAATATGCAACTTAACCCATGGGCGATTTGGAAATTGCCAAAATACCCCTAAACTAAAAAACTTCAACCAATGTAGATAATGTAAAAATAAGCATAAGATAAGACCCATAAAGCTTAAATATCCAAGGTCCCGAGTGGTTGTGCATCATCCAATGCATGTCAAATCAGCATATGCTTTATACCCCTCATTGCTTATATAACAAACTAACTTTGATCCTCATTGTGTATATCACAAATATGCTTACAAAAAGCATCCACTTCAACACTAGGACATTCCTCTACAGGCAAGGAACCATATCAATTGGTTTTTAAGGAAGTAAACCTGTTACAGTCTCAAAGGGGTTGCGACCAATAGTCCGATTTACTGAACTCTTATAAGCAAATTCGGCCATAGGAAGAACTTGATCCCAACTACCAACAACGTCGCGTGAAAGGCATTGAAGGTCATCCAAACTTCGATTAACACCCTCCGTTTGGCCATCCAAAAGAAGAAGAAAATTTCAGCCTTCTATTGTGCATTTTCCACGAAGTACACCAAAACTAACTCATAAACTTCGCATCATGGTCCAAAATGATTTCTTTTGGCCAACCATGAATTTGGACAACTACTATTAAGGAGATCTTCTTAGCAATATGGATGGCATCATAAGTCCTTGAACAACGAACACCATTTTTTGTAGCAATCCACCACCATAAAAATGGAAGCATGCTCCCTAAGAGTATGTGGCAGAACTAGGACAAAGTCTATGCTTAGGTCGTGCCATGGCTCATGTGGTACTGGAAATGGAGTGTATCATAAAGCCAGCTGAGAAGATCTACCAACTGCTCCGCCATACAATCATTCAAATTTGAATGAAAAGCAACATCACAAACCTCATGTGACCCCAAAAGATAAAAACTAACATCATGCTAGCGGATTTCTAAAACTATTTGGAAAAAAGAAAGCATAAGAACTTAGGTTTGGACTTGATGAGAAATCATATTGATTTGGTGATGAGCTTTTAAAGATTGCAGATTTTAGAAGGCCTACTCTCACCTTCCCGAATCATGGTGAAGTTGCGACTATTTCACTTGGAGAGTTCCCTCATGTCTTTCATGTGTACGTGTTTTATTTTTTGGCCAAAAATTGGGCGTGTTTTTTTTTTTTTTTTTTTGGGTAAGAAGGGTGACCCAATGCACAAGGCTCCTACTAAAGCAGGGCCTAGGGAGAGAAAGATGTAGGTCACCTTACCCCCATTTCAGGAAAGACAATTTATGTGACTCAACCCTCAACCATCAGGACAATGACAACAAGCCTATATCGTTATTTACCTTGGCATGATCAATATCAATTATTATTCTCCTAAAGTTCTAAGTTCTTTTAAGACAAAAATCATTATTATTACAAATAAAACTTGCTAGGGTAGCAATCAGGTACAAGACTTCAGTTGTTGATTGCTAGTTCATTCTCAACATCAATTCAGTGGTCTTATTTCTTTTGTTTGTTTCTTGTTTCCTTGTTTTTGACAACTCAATTGCTAAGTCCATTATCACGATCAAACTAGTAATTGTATAATGAACAAATGTAATTACACCATATTTTTTCCTATACAGTTTTATATTCTAAATGTACAAAAAGTTACGTAATTCCCTCCCCAAAAAAATGATATATATGAAAATGCAGAAGAAAAAAACATGCATATAATTTTCCCGCCAAAATTGTTCAACTCTATCACAATAGTGAATAATTTGATTTATACAAAGAACACGCCAGATATGGAAACATACATAAAGACGTGCTCACTTCCAACTTCTGACGCAAGGACAAAGCAAAACAAATACATTCAATTATAATACATAAAAGGGATGCTCTTCCATATTTGTTAAGGTATTGTGAACCTGCCAAGCTTGTTGCTGACTGCGCATTTGCATACTTCTTCTCCAAATGATTTTCCCCATGACAGCCTTACTCTGTGGCAGTGGCTCCGGTTGCTCAAAAAGCCCCTCGTCAGTGGCAATACTACAGCTACTGTTTGATCTTGAAAATGCATTATCCCGAATACTCTCCATACTCCCAAACTTTTGAGAAAGGTGATCTTCAAGATAACAATCCACTCTCCTTTGTAAACTAGGAGGTAAGACCACCTGTCAATCCTTGAGAGTTCTGGTTAATTGCTTGAGAAGCAAGGGCAAGGAAAGAAAAAGAAAAAAAGTGCCCGAGGCACAAGAAAAAGAAAAAAAGTAATGAACACAATACACTTTTCACTAATTTCAAAACCCTTTTCATGATTTCAAAAATATCCTTTTCACCATTTCCAAACATTTTTTACACAAATTTCAATATTAAAGAATGCCCCAGGAGCATTTGTTAGTATTTTCCAAAGAGGTGGGGGAAACAAACACATTAGCCTTGTTTGGTTTCTTTTTCAGAAAAAAAAAAATTCAGAATCATTTGATAAAATAAATATCAAAAATACATTTTTAAATTTTAAAAAATTATTTTTGGCCTCCCAGAATTTTTTAACAATGATAAGTGTTTTTTTATTTTTTTCACCAAATTAATTTTTAATTTTTTAGAAAAATTTCTTGAAACAAGTTTATGAAAACCAAACCAACCATGGCCAGTGAAATTAGAAAAACATGCATGGGTTAAATGTTCATTACCAATAAGTGAAGCCTATAAGCTATGAAGCACAGACACCTCTCCAGAGGTCACGTATAGGTGTCCGACACGTGTCGGACACAGACACGTGTTGGAAAGAGTTGGACACGCTGCGGACACATTAAGGACACGCTGAGGACACTCAGCACTCTAGGGACACGTTAGGGACAAATGGAGTACTATTTTTTTCAAAAAAAATTAAAACTTTTAATTTTTTTTACTAAAATAGCATACCTAAGATTGATAAATTTAATAAAATTAAATATTTGACATCAAATACATAATAAATATTTAAAAATATACATATAATAAAAATAAAAAAATATCTATTTTGAACGTATCCCCAACGTGTCTTGTCCTGTCTTGTATTTTTTAAAAATTTACGTGTCCGCGTGCCCGTGTCATGTCTGTGTCGTGTCACGTGTCCGTGTTTGTGCTTCTTAGCCTATAAGTACTGAAATAAATTAACATAAATCAGCAAGAGGAAGCAGTAACATTCAGCTTGAATAATAAACAAAATATTAAAAAAAGGAGAGAATTTTCAAGCCAGATAAAAATAAGGGGATTATTTTACAACAATAAAATTAATATATATATCAAATTTTTCACATAAAAAAAGGGATGAATTATTTTATAGCATCTGAAGAGAACTCAAAGCATTACTATGATATGGAAATCAGAATCTGGTCAAAGAAGAATTTACAGAATTAAGTGGAGAAAAGCTCAAGAAAGTACCTCTCTCTGTGGCCGCCTATCATCCAGATCAAATCTGTAGTTTGGCAATGGAAGCTTACTAACAACGACAACTTTTACATACAGATTGCTGCCAAAGTTTTGCAGTTCAAAAATTCAAATCCACTTATTAATCAATATGGAATGTAATGACAAAAAATAGGTTTTCATAAAGTTAGTTGGAGATAGATACCTATACAAACCCATTTTGCTTGCCAAAGACGCTATTTGCTCAAAATCTCGTCTGTCCTTTTTGTCCCTTGACACCAGCTCTTGTTTATGTTTGCTGTGTAAGAGCTTAGTTAACTTCCATTTCCACCCATCAACATTATCTGAGGTGGGAGCACCCTGAAGAACATGTAGAAAGTTCAGATGACTAGTGACACACCCATAGCTGTGGGGGAAAAGAACCACTCAGGGAGGGGAGCAGGAGCAGAGGTTGATACTATATGTTTGGATATCTAATACACATACACCAACAAACTAATCGAGGCGACTTCATGATCTATAATTTTTGTGTTATGATTTAAAGAACATATGTAAAAAGGTACTCATGCAGACAGACACATAAAGCTAACCCTTTGAATATGGCACCAGCAACAGAGAACAATGGAGACTAAGATGGACTAGTGGCAAGATAGAGGACAAAACTGAAAATGGAACATCCATAACAAGCTGAAGGTAAACACCCTTGGGGGCAAGACGAGAAGAAAAACAACCGAGGTGACTGCGTCAAGGTGCGGATGTGACATGGCTCAAACTGAAGGCTAAAGAGGACGAGCAGAAAACAATATTGGTGTATGTAATATTGTTTAATATTATATTCCATTTTTAATGTATTTCCATCTTTTGTTTTCTTGTACACTATTCCACTTCAGGCCTATATTAGCTCTTTTGTACAATTTCAGAGATAAGTGAATATACAGAGTTTCTCTCATTTTCTTCTCGCATCTTTTACCCTTAACTGTATCATGGTATCAAATTCTATGATTCAGTGATCTAGTTTTTATCACCACCACTTTTGTGTCAGTCTTTGTTGTCACTGTTGTTGATGTACCAATCACCATCACTGCTGCAAGCACCACATCAAAACCGCCCTACACCTCTGTTTTTCTTTCTCCAGGTGATTGGATCGTAATTTTGATATCATCAGAATCCTTGTCTTCTCATTTCGAGTCAGAGCTGCCAAACACATCCTAAAAGACCTATCACATGCCTTCACGCTGCTAACAATTGAGCACATAGATCTCAATCACACCAAATTGTTCACACAGTGCCACACACCGCCTCAACTTTTGATGCGTTAATACCTCCGCACACATCAGTTCTTTTACGCTCACTAGTGTGACTTGGATTCGTCTTGTTGCCTGATCTTTCTGCGTTGGATCCAACCCGTCTCGCCCACTTGTACCGTGCATTGTGTGCACTTTACTCTCTGCTTCAATCAGGCCAAACATATTCATCTATTTCATTTTTAATCTTGGTTCAATTTCGTTTTGAATGGCTCTGTACCCGCTCATATAGGTTTTTCGACATTTTGAACTTGATTTTGGCCTCTGTTTTTGCTGATGCTAGTACAGTGTTATTCTAGCCTCGGATGCATCAGAACTTCCGATTATGGAGTGATCTACCATCTTTCGATCTATGCACGGAATCTTGAAAAGTCTCAAATAATATTCCCCTTAGACAGGCCTGAAAATTAGATATTTTGCACCCTTATTTCAATAAATCCTCTCCAATTCTGGTAATCACCCTCCTACTTCTCCATATGCCACCTCAGGTACTTCTTGAATTTTTTTTTTTTTGTGCAAGTTGTAATCACATGACATCATACCTTCAGGTTTTCTCTTCAAAATAGTATGTTTCTCATATTCTAGCCATCCATACTATCAATTGTTCTGACATGCTTATTAGTTATTTTGGTCAGTCCCTGCCTATGAAGCACGGTCACCTCTCCGGAGGTCATGTATAGGTGTCCGACACGTGTCGAACACGGACACGGACACGCGTCAGACACACTCCAGACACGCTAGGACACTTTGGACATGTTGGGACACGCTGAGAACACGTTGGGGACACTCTAAGGACATGTTGAGTACTATTTTTTTCAAAAAAAAATTTAAAATTTTTAGTTTTTTTACTAAAATAGCATAAGGTTTATATATTTAGTAAAATTAAATATTTGACATAAAATACATATTAAATATTTAAAAATACACATAATAAAAATATAAAAACATATGTTTTGAGCGTGTCTCCAACGTGTCATGTCCTGCATTATTTGAAAATTTACGTGTCCATGTCGTGTCACGCATCCGTGTCCGTGTTTCTTAGGTCACTACTTCTAATGTCTCTTTTTGATACCTATTTAATCTCTAAACTCACTTTGAATCTCATTTTTGTTAGGAAATTATATGAACTTGGACTTAATGTTTACCTTTTCTGCTACTGGTTGTCATATGCAAGATCCATAGACCAAACAGACTCTTGGGATAAACCGTAAGACTGGACAACTGTATGAGCTTATCAATCTTCACATTTTTTCTCAGTTCTCTTCATCAATTCAGTCTGCTGCCTTGGAACCCTCTCCATCTTCTATAAGTCTTCAATCTGATGTTAATTTTACTCCTTTTGTGAGTCATTCTAATCTTATTCTCTTTCTACTTCCTCTACTTCTCAATGTCTTTTTTTTTTTTTTATCAGCCTCTACTTCTCTAAGTCTTTGGCATTCTCGATCGAGTGACATCTCTTCGAATCGTTATACATTTTGGTTCTAGTTGTCAGCTAGGACCTGTCGAAGATAGGCATATATTGATTCTCTTTCTTGTCAACCTGCTAAACAAACAGCATTACCTAAATGAATTTATTTCTGTTACTCCATTTGATTTAATTCACTCTAACATTTGGGGGCCTTCTCCCAACACGACCATGGGGATCTAACTAAATAGTTTGTTGTATTCATCAATGATTATTTTTGCTTCTCTTGTCATATCTCATTCACAACCAATCTAAGTTACCACAGATTTATTATGATTTTATAAAGATGGTTCAAACTTAAATTTTTATGTACCATCAAAGTCTTTTAAGTTGATAATGCCATGAAATGTGGAGAATCATAATTTCTAAAATTTCTTTGGCAAGATGGCACCATCCGTCATCGTTATTGTCCTGAAACATTTCAAGTTTTTGACAAAATGGTCATGCAAAGAGTAAGCATAAGCATATTTAGACACTCCTTATGCCCTTATTATCTCTGTGTCTTGTCCTAAGCGATTTAGGGGAAGCTGCTCTCACTACTGTCTATACTATCAATTGTATTCCCTCTCCCACAATTAGTAATCAATCCCTTAATGAATGTCTATATGGTACTCCTCCTGACTATAGTATTCTTTTTTGGATGTTCATCTTTTATCTTACTTCAGCCTTATGAGCGCACTATATTGGAACCTTGAGCTCATCTTTGTTGTTTCTTGGGGTATGGAATCCAACATAAGGGCCATAGATGTTGGCATCCCTATTTCAAGCGTCTTCACATTTCCCATCATATCATCTTTTGGGAACATAAGATGTTCTCCTCTATGTCCAAGTTCCACTTACCATTCATCTCTACTTCATCCTTCTTTATTGATCCTTCTTTGTAGTTGCTTCCTAATAATTCGTATACAAACTCTCCCTCTATGCTCACAAGTGCAGTCTCTCCTAAGGTGGTTACTATCTATGATTGTCATGTTATTGATCCTTCCGCCATCCACTCTCTTGAGTCTCCTGCATCATCCTTACATACTGATGATCCCATTACTAATCCGCATCTTCGTAATTCGACTCGGGTAAGAGAACTACTTGTTCATCTTCATGATTATCATTATTTTCCTACTCTTCTTTTCCAGCTTCATTGAGCCTCAACCCTACCGTGATGCTAGTTTTAACCCTCCATGGCAGCAAGCAATGGTAGAGGAATTGCAAGCATTGAATAACACTCATACATAGGATTTGGTTGATCTTCCTCCTGGCACGACAACAATTGGATGTAAGTGGGTCTCCAAAATCAAGACCCATTTTAATGGATCTATTGAGCATCATAAAGCACGTCCAGTTACACACAGGCATGGCATTTACTATGAGGAAATTTTTAACCCAGTTACTCATCTCACCTCTATTCACAATTTACTTGTCATTGTCCGAAAGTGGGGCCTCTACCAGATTGAAAATGCATTTCTTAATTGAGACCATGAGAGAGTATAGAAGCAACTTCCTTAGGGGTATACTAATCCTTCACACACAATTTCTGCAAACTTCATCAAGCTCTAAATGATCTTAAATAGGCTCCTCGGACACAGTTTGCCAAGTTCAAACTACTATTTGGAATTTCGGATTCACCTCTAGTCCTCGTGACTCAACTCTATTTGCTTGTGAGTATAAGCATGAAACTATTATTCTTCTGTATGCTAACAACATGATTATTACTGAAGATAATCCGGTTGGTATTTCTAATTTCAAAACATTTCTCAGCCAACATTTTGTAATGAAGGATCTAAGTTCTCTCAGTTACTTCTTGAATCTTGAGATGTCTTCTGATTCAAGTGGATACTACGTCTCTCAGACCAAGTATGCATCTTAACTTCTAATCAGTGTTGGTTTCACTAATAACAAGACTGTTTTCACTCTTCTTAAGCCTAATGCAAGGCTAACTCCTCTATATAACATGCCACTCTTTACATACAGTTGCTTTGGGGACCTTATCTATCTCGCAGTTAACTTACTTGACATTTCCTATGTTATGCATCTAGTCAGACAATTTTGTCAATGCTTCATTCCACTCATCAATTGAAGTACTTCGCATTCTTTACTACATCAAAGGGACTTTGTCTCGCAGTCTTCATTTCTCAATTCATTTTCTTGGGGTGTGTCCTTGCTCTAATGTTGATTGGGCTAATGACCCTAGTGATCGGCATTCTACTATTGATTTTGCTTCTTCTTGGGCAATTCTCTTATAAGTTATACCTTGGCATAGTAACAAGCAAACTATAACTGTCCACTTTAATATAGAGGCAGAATATTGTGCTCTAGTTGATACTACCCAAGAGCTCATCTAGCGTTGTTGGTTACTTGAGGATATGGGGGTTACACATTCCACAGCTCCTCTTATTTGTTCTGTGATAATCATAGTGCTATCCAAATTGCTTACAATGATGTCTTCTGTAATAATTTATGTGTATTATTGATTGATATATGTTGTTGTGTTACAAGATTGATAAATTACAATTCCTATACAATCTATATATAGAAGAAAATGTGGTAGTAGATGTAGTGGAGGTGATAGTGGGTTAGGTGAAGTGGAGTGTGTGGTG